CTCTCTCTCTCTCTCTCTTTCTCTCACTTACTATATCTCACATTTTCTCACTCTCCTCTTTCTTCCTCACTCTCTTATTCTTGCTCTCTTTCTTTCTATCTCTCTTTCTCTCTATCGTTCTGTCAGTTACTCCAACTCTTCATCTCTCTCCCTCTTTCTCTCAATCTTTCGTTTCATTCTATCTCTCTCTTTTCTCTCTCTCTTTTCTCTCTCTCTCTTTTTCTCCCTCTTTCTTGTCTCCCCCTCCCCACAAGCCCATACCAACTCGCGTCTGTTGTTCCCATTCCAGTCCTCTTCTCTACAAATTAACATGACAAAATCTGCCCAATCCGAGTCTATCTACTAGCAACCAACAAGTTGTCAAAAGTACAAATCCTCTACGTGCAAACCCATGATCTCACAATGAACCCTCCAGTCCATTCTCCTATCCCGAAAAGACTTGTTTATTTTCCATCGCTCAGAGTGGGTTCATCGCTGCTCTGCTCACCGGGGTGCCGCCTGTGGGCTCATCGCTGCTCTGCTCACAGGGGTGCCGCCTGGGGTTCGTTGAACACACAAACAAAGCGTGCCGCCACACCATTCACCACCTGACGACGTGAGCGATCTTAACGACCCCGTGAACACAGAGCGTGACAGATTGGTTCTACCTCCCACGGTGCTCATACAAACACTAAAGGTGGAGTTTTGTCTCTCGAAAGGTAACTCAATACCCCAAAGTAAGGACTTTTAGAAGGTGAAACACTTTAACACAGGCCTGCACAACCCAAAATGTAAGACTTCATCAATAACTTGTGCGGGCAGAAAGAAAATAGGACAGGGGGGAAAGCTATGACGAAAATAAGACTAAAGAATACTAAGACTTGTGGATTGGCTGAACACGCCCAATAAAACCGTTTGAAGGAGCGCACGTTCAATCACTGACGTAGTAGCTTCACATGCAATGATATTTCCTAGAAGAAATGAAACATGCTATACGAGCTGCTATTTTGGAATACTGTATGCTCAATGACCACACCCGGTGATCCACCAGTAGGAATATGATATTATAAGTAACGTGCTAGCTAGAATTATGATGTTATAGGTGACCAACTAGCTGGAACATGATATTTTGGTGATCTACTATTTGAAATATGATATTTTGGTGACCTAGTTGCAGAAATAGGATATTGTCGTTGACCTACTGGCTGGAATATGAAACTATCGGTGACCTACTTGCTGGAATATGTTATCGGTGACCTACTAGCTCTAGCTGGAATATGATACCATAGGTCACTCACTAGTTAGACTATTATAAAACTAAGGATTACCGTTGTAGTTGTTTTGTTTGTTATAAACCGGGTCCGGGTATCTGGAGAAAATACCAAGATGGATCCAAGTGCTACAAGACACAGATATCATATGTGCCGGCCTTTAAACAACACTACTTGCTGTCCTTTAAACAACAGTCCTACAGACAGCACTACCGGCCGGCCTTTAAACAATGGTCCTACAGACAGCACTACCTGCCGGCCTTTAAACAATGGTCCTACAGACAGCACTTCCTCCCGGCCTTTAAACAATGGTCCTACAGACAGCACTACCTGCCGGCCTTTAAACAATAGTCATACAGACAGCACTACCTGCCGGCCTTTAAACAACAGTCCTACAGACAGCACTTCCTGCCGGCCTTTAAACAATGGTCCTACAGACAGCACTACCTGCCGGCCTTTAAACAATAGTCATACAGACAGCATTACCTGCCGGCCTTTAAACAATAGTCCTAAAGACAGCACTACCTGCTGACCTTTAAACAATGGTCATACGGACAGCACTACCTGCCGGCCTTTAAACAATAGTCCTACAGACAGCACTACCTGCCGGCCTTTAAACAATCGTCATACGGACAGCACCACCTGCCGGCCTTTAAACAATAGTCCTACAGACAGCACTACCTGCCGGCCTTTAAACAATCGTCATACGGACAGCACCACATGCCGGCCTCTAAACAACAGTCCTACAGACAGCACTACCTGCTGACCTTTAAACAATGGTCCTACAGACAGCACTTCCTGCCGGCCTTTAAACAACAGTCCTACAGACAGCACTACCTGCCGGCCTTTAAACAATGGTCCTACAGACAGCACTACAGACCTGTTTACCCTCAAACTCTTCAAATCGTACAATATCATCACAAAATGGTTTAAAACATTATCTTTATTGTAAAATAATAAACCTGCAGTATAAACATGTATACACCTTAACATCGTACATTGTACGCCAAAGTAAACAGGTCTGCTATACCCATACAATTGAAATGATACCCATCTAAGAGATTAGCGCGGGGAATATTCTATGAAACACCGCTTTGTCAAGATTACTTTAAATAACTTGACCGGTGGGGGTGGGGGTGGGGGGAGGGGCGCTACTACTTGGCTGCCGTGAGCTGGTGACTTTATTATGTATCTCTTTTTTTTTAAGGGTTTAAGAGAACAACACATGTAGCTGTGCAGAACAATTTTGATTCCACTAACGCTACGTGTAATGTGTTGCTATTATGTGTGATCCCTGCAGGCCTGTTCGCGTCAGAGTGACAGGTGTTTGTTTTGGGTGTTGAACTTTATTCTTTAATTTTATATTATCTTCTCATTAGAACAATAATGATGCCCAAGCGTCAATGTAAGTTTATGGAGGAGTATTCCAAAGAGTGGAACTATATTTAAAGGGACGCTATGAAAGTGAAGCCGAGTGCACAGTTTGTAATAAAGTTTTTAGTATTGGTCATGGTGGACGTTCAGACATAAAACAACACATCACATTAGTGAAACATAGGAAAAGACTGATTACCCCAAGTAGATTTCTAGGTCAGATTTCATAGTTAAAATTAGCATATTTTAATAAAGAGTTTCTGGTGGAGGCCCCCGGACCCCTCTTTAGCTGGAGGGTAACCACCCCCACCCTCCCCCTCCCCTCCAGAAATAAAAAAAAAAAAAAAAAAAAAAAAAAAAACCCCTTTAAAGCGCCCCGTTTTTTCCAAAACCCCCCAGGGCAAGGGGGGGGGGGGGGGACTGTATCAAACTCACAGACGATCGTCTAAGACGGCGACGCCAATCCTACAACAGCTGTTGTTTGTGAGTGTCATCTGTGGTAGCTCGAGGCGCACCTGCTCTCCAAGGACATCCCGCAACCCCCCATGTGATAGTGTTGCAGAGACTGGGTAGGGGGAGGTAATTATGACGCAATAACAAGGGATGCGGTATGTGCATCGGAGAGAGGGGTGGGCTACTTATTAAAAGTGTCAAAAAAGTTTGACACTTGAGGCAGCAGGTGTTACTAACTTTTGGTGACCCTGACGAGCTTAGACTCGATAACACAGTGCAGTGGTCCTCAAACTTTTTATCGCCGTGGACCGGTCAACGTTCGATTATTTTACCGCGGCCCTCTGAGGGGTTGGGGGTGTTGATTGTTAATATTTAGGATTGTTTTGATTTATAATTTGGTTCCCGCTGTGACTGCCCTCTTTGCCCCATTCTCATGGCCCTGCCTGAGGGCAACATGGCACCCAGAGCGACGCATAATATCGGGACCACTGGGCTGGCCAAATTGTCGGCTGTATAAATACGCCATTCATTTTTTAAAAAAAATATCCTGTGACGTCACAATTACCCATAAAATTGTTTGATGTCATTGGTTTTTTCAATAGCGATGGGGCTAAAAGCTCCTTGGACGTACGAGTTTGGGGGCTGGGGAGTGTCCAGTTGATTTATTGTTGGACATATTTTTGCTTCGGGGGGGGCGCTTGGCTTTCCCCGGGGACATAGCTGAAAGAAACCCTGCTCTCAGATCCTATGAAATATGTACTCTCCGCTGTCAGCCGCAAGAAAAACTCGATTGGGGGGGGGGGGGCATCTCTATGCCGGTAGCGTTTACCGGTACGAATAAAAGTCAAATTATCTCACCCCCCCCCCCCCCCCCCCCCCTGTTCACCCCCCCATTTTTTTTATTTAATTTTTTTTTTATTTTTAACGAACACTTTTCCCAACTAATATGTTACAATGAGCTTTCGGGAACCCCACCCCCACCCCCACTCCAAAAAAAAAACAACAACAAACAAACAAACAAAAAACCCTGAAAAACCATTAAAATCTATTTTTAGATTATGAAGTTACAGAATAGTAAAAGTAGCACGGGTTTTCACCACTCCGCCAGTTCAGACAAAATAATTATGTAACAAAACTACTTTACAATCTTGGTCGCAGTCAAAGAAGATGAGGGGGTGGGAGGAGTTGTCCCTAGGGCGACTATTCTATACATTACAGTTAGGCAGCTAACTCAATAGATCCCTTGTTATTTTTATAGACGTTGATATTCCCAGAAATCCCCCTACCCAAGCGTTCTCCTTATTCAACAACCCCCCCCCCCCCCCCCCCCCCCCCCCCCCCCCCCCCCCCCACACAAAAAAAAACATGGTCCTACAAAAAAAAAAAAAAAAAAACCTCCCCTCTCAGTGCGTACATAATATAACGAAGGATGGTTCTAACTAAAAAAATAAAAAAAAAATTTTTCTCGTCTATTCGCTGCCAGATCTTTATTAGAAAGGGCTCAAACTCCAACAATCAAATAATTATTATTTTTTTTAAATCAGAAAAATTACCCCAATACTTTTCACCGACCTCTGAAAATCGTAGTTTTGGCGGGTCTCGGCGTACAAACGTAAAAGATATCTAAAAATCGTAAGAGTAAACATGTCTGTTGTTTCTTGTTTTGTCTTATCTGCTGTAGCAAAACATCATTGTAATTGTCTTTTCTTTTCAAATCCTGAAGATATCTTGTTTCACTTATTATTTACTTACACAGCTTAATGCAGTCCCTCATTAGCTCATCTTAAGAAGCTCTGAAAGATGTTCATTTGTTTATAAATGCATTGATCTTTCTTTCAAGATTTGGTTTTGACCTATCCAGAGTATGAATATGTATTTGATTTATGCCATATGAATTTCTTTTTTAAGCATTGATTTGATTACCTGCTTACACATAGTCAAAGCAAACTCTTCAACACACTGTTTGAGATTGACCCAATGAAGCTTAGGAAACATTAACGTTAAATATTTTGCTGTAATGGCCATGAGACGTAGATCTCTTTGAAATGTCTGCACTATGTTTGGATGTAGAATCTGAAATATCAGGTAAAGAAAATTATTTTATTGTTTTTCTATCAGTGAAACAAAAATTTCATTGCTATGCATCAACCAATAGCAGTTTGAGTGTAAACTGATATTTGAATTTTAATAACACTTTCATTGATATATAGAAATGATCTTTCTTGCAACAGGAACTAATAATACATTTAGAGTTACCTTTATTGCAACAGGAACTAGATTCTCTACTGCAGCCGATGCATTGTTCAAGACCTTGTCACATTTACTACCGGTAACTAAAAAAAGAGAGGAAAATCTACATTTTAGTTTTTAATTAAAATGATAAACTTTAAAACATTTCTGAAACAAAAAAGTACATAATGATTTTTCTTGTGCAATGCCTTAGTTGTTAGGGAAATAATAGTAGTATGTCACATGTGCCTTTCATTTAACGTACCAGATCCTAAGTCAGTGCTGCTAGTCTCATGCCTTGAATTGCTAGTAGGAACAAAGTCTCTAGATACATATCCTTTGTACACCTAAAAACATTATTTTATAAAAAAGATTGCTACATTAGGACAGATTTTTTAAAAATCTCACAAACAGGGAAACCATTTTTAGAAAAGTAATTCAAATGTTATCAGAAGGTATTTCAAGTTTGATATCTTTTCATTACTGCAACAAATTATGTAATATGTATAGAATATATGTATAGAATATTTAAAGTAACTGTCACTCATTTTGCACATCACCTGCTTCATGGTTTAAATCATGTAGCATTCTTCTTAGGTTAAATAATGTAGCATTCTTCTTAGGTTAAATAATTTAGCCTTCTTCATAGGTTAAATAATGTAGCCTTCTTCATAGGTTAAATAATGTAGCCTTCTTCATAGGTTAAATAACATTGCCTACTTCATGGTTTAAATAATGTAGCATTCATCATAGGTTAAATAAAATTGCCTACTTCATGGGTTAAATAATGTAGCCTTCTTCATAGGTTAAATAAAATTGCCTACTTCATGGGTTAAATAATGTAGCCTTCTTCATAGGTTAAATAAAATTGCCTACTTCATGGGTTAAATAATGTAGCCTTCTTCATAGGTTAAATAAAATTGCCTACTTCATGGGTTAAATAATGTAGCCTTCTTCATAGGTTAAATAAAATTGCCTACTTCATGGGTTAAATAAAATAGTCTACTTTATAGGTTAAATAACATAGCCTACCTGAGCAATGCATCCTGAACCAACAGGCTTTTGATTTCTGTCTAGATGAAGCAGATTCTGCCAGTTTGATCCATAAGCTCCATGCAAGGCTTTCTCTGTGTGTGACCATGCATGTGGCTGAACTTGATGGTGTAGACCAGAAAACTTATCACAAAAATCCCTGGAGAACAGATCTCTCCTAGTACTTGCCCACTGGCCAAGTTTTATAAAGGTGGCTCCTGACCTCTCGACGCCAATGTAGAGCAGTGAGATCCATATGTTAAAACACTTTGGACTTACATCTAGAAGCAAAAAAAAAAAATTTTTGGGGCATGATTTACATGGGGCTAATTAGATTGTGGAATCAGTCAGACAATCGGAGCCAGAAGGATCAATACATTGATTGTGAGCCCTCAAGATATAGAAAAAGAAGAAGCAGGTCATCATGGTAGATTTTAAAACCTAATGACTAATGAGACCAAGTCTGTTACTGAAGCCAGCAAATCCATAAACTCAACACCATCAATCCTAAAGTGACCATTTTTTCAAATTTACAACCAGGACAGTTTAAATATTTTTGGGTCACCTTGAATATACTGTGATTTAAATATTTCAAGCTGTGATTGGGGGTTGCTGATAATGCAACACTTAAAAATCAAGGCAAGATGGGCTTTCATAATGAGCAACACTAGTAATAAATCTCAGATTATGGATTGACAATCTTGTGCTATCTAAGCACAAAAAAAACTTGTTACATTTCAGTCCAAGATCAGAAGTGCTCTAATGACCATAAATTATATGATTGTACTATTAAATTATGCAGCACAACTTTATGAACTTTTAAAACAGAGTCTCAAATGTAAATACTACTAAGTCCATTACTTACAAGTCAAAGGGTATATAAATATCAAATGATAACTGCTACAAACAAATTAAAGGGTATATTAAAAATAACTAATAACTACAATTCACAAATCAACAAAGGCTATATAAACAGTAATCAGTAAGTGCTACTTACAAGTCAAAGGGTATATCAACAGTAATCAGTAAGTGGTACTTACAAGTCAAAGGGTTTATCAACAGTAATCAATAGGTGCTACTTACAAGTCAAAGGGTATATCAACAGTAAGTTCTACTTACAAGTCAAAGGGTATATCAACAGTAAGTGCTACTTACAAGTCAAAGGGTATATCAACAGTAAGTGCTACTTACAAGTCAAAGGGTATATCAACAGTAAGTGCTACTTACAAGTCAAAGGGTATATCAACAGTAAGTGCTACTTACAGGTCAAGGGTATATCAACAGTAAGTGCTACTTACAAGTCAAAGGATATATCAACAGTAAATGCTACTTACATGTCAGAGGGTATATCAACAGAAAGTGCTACTTACAAGTCAAAGGGTATATCAACAGTAAGTGCTACTTACAGGTCAAATGGTATATCAACAGTAAGTGCTACTTAGAAGTCGAATGGTATATAAACAGTAAGTGCTACTTACATGTCAAAGGGTATATCAACAGTAAGTGCTACTTACAAGTCAAATGGTATAACAACAGTAAGTGCTACTTACATGTCAAAGGGTATATCAACAGCAGTGGAAAGAATACAATGAACAGATGTGCAGCCCTAAGATTTAAAAAGAGTAGTTCTTTAAATGAATACCAGGAGCTTTGTTGATATCTTTGTTTATCAATAACTTCTTGCAACATACTAGATGACAATATTCCATTAGAATCTAGTTGAAGAGTTTCACATTTTGCAACAGTGCAAACCACTATTCTGTGTTTCAGTGTGCAACCAAAAAACAAAACTGGTAGAGACATCAAAGAGAATGTATATCCAAAAGATAATGTACAAATGTTTGAAAAGCTCAAAATTCTGATTGCTGTGAAGTTTACTATTGCATGTAGGTGTGGTTTCAGAGAATAAGTGACAGGTGGTTTTAAATTATTAATAAATATAGCTTTTTCTTTAAGTGTCTGTATTAATTGTAACCTAATATTTATATTTAAAAATTGTTTTTGGTGTTGCAAAAAGCCCTGTTGTAAAATTTTCGAATAATGTTTTGGAATTATTTTTATCCCAGTCTTATACAACAGTAATACTGCAGTCTCCATGATTGTTTTTGGTCAAAAATATTCAGATTGTCTCAATCGACATGTTCTTTAACTTTAATCTCTGCTCATACTCATATCTTCTGCCTGGCTTTTATTGTCTGTAAAGATAGAAAAGATCATTAAGATAGAATGAATGATCCAAAAATAGATTTTTAAATTTAAATTAAATCACTCTATATTGGCCCACCGCTTTTTCCACACAAAAAATCATCACTAATTTGTCGCTAAATTTAGACACCCTCATTATTATCATAACACATCCTAACAGTGGTTCTCAACCTTCCTAATGCCGCAACCCTTTAATAGAGTCCCTCATGCTGTGGCGACCCCCCCCCCCCCCCCCCC